ACATAAAAAAGCATTTATAATATAAAAAAAAACATAAAAACATTCATGATACATTTATATACATCTAAAAGCATCAACCTTTCCCCATCATACTTGTGTCAGATGAAAACGACAACACTCCAAGAGAGTTGATGGGAGTAAATTCCTTAAAACAACAATGACTCTTTTTAAAATTCAAGAGGTACAGAAAGTGATTTAAAAATAAAATTTCGGTCTTCACAAATTGAAACAATCTTAGATAAACTATGATGGTACAGTTCATCAGACTATCCATGCAACAGAATAACCATAAGAGGAATATAGTTTCCAAATTCAATCCACTAATAAGGAAGCTAATTGAAAAATTTCGGAAAAAATTTAATTGTTCCATCCATAAAAGTTTCGTTTTCTCTATCGATTACCGAGAAACCGGTGCATTATACTTGCGCGCATTACCATTACCTTTGCGCGCAAAAATCATTACGTTTGCGCACAGCTTTTGGTTACATTTGTGCGCATTCTTTTAGAGGTAAATTCAGGTAAATAAGGTAGAATATACTTATTTATCCTGCAATCTATCTTTCTACTATACTAATACAGGTGTACAGATAACACGAAACAATGTACTAGACGTATACAGTCTCCTGGTATCCTGCTTCTGTTGCGAGCAAACGGTTATGTCAAATTGCTAGATGTTTATGTCACAGTTCAATTTGGGGTCCTCATTGCGGTCCGCGTTTAAGTCATGTCGATTTCTTTCAAAAACAAATTCATCGATTTGGATGGGGAAACTGTACATATTTAATTACAGGATAAAGACATAAACTGTTTAGTGTCTTTAAATATCAGCTGTTTTTGTACTCGGCTCGAAACAGGAGTAATAGCTCGCTGACGCTTGCATTACACCTGTTTCTTAGCCTCGTACAAATACAGCTGATATCTAAAGACACTAAACACTTATTGTCTATATATTTATTCAACTATTATTTTCGAGCAGGATACGTCCGTTTTATTACGTACACGTAATTAGTCCTGGAACAATATAAAGATAAATTGGATTCTGCTGGATGCCCAAAGACTTGAAGGAAAATGGGAATCCGGTGCAATTATTTACGATGCATCTCTATGAAATATTTCCTGACTTAGGTGTTCTATCTATACGGAAAGTAAATCCATCGTACACTTATCCCTACCCCCCCCCCCCCCCCCCCCCCGATTTGTTTCTGACAAACGAAAATCCATGTGTGTGTCCTGGTGCAATTATACAAACTGAATTAAATTATTCATCAAATTGCCATTCGGTGAAATAATGAAACAGAATTCTATTTACTCTGCCAATATTCGCAAATGTAAGCAAAGACTGGGCGCAAACGTAAACAGAAATTAATTCCCAAATGCGCGTAAATCTAATGCGCCTCAAGAAACGTATACAATATTCTTTATAGTATGTCTGGTTTACCCGAATATTTTTTTTCTGAATTTCTCGTTTGTTCGGATGAACTTTCAAAGAATATGCCGACATCTTTCCATGACTTTGGTTAATTTTCTAAAGATTACATGTATACAACTATTATAGGTAAAAAGCGCAAATGTCTTGTCAATTTTGTTCAGGTGTATCAAAGTTAAAAGCGCAAATGTCCTTTCGTGTTACTGGTAAAATAAAAGCACAAACGTCCTGCGTCTGTCTGGTCACGCATTGTCTTTCACGATCGAGATAATACGTTGCCTGATCTTTCACGATCAATTTTATTGAAAAATCAACAAAATTCAGTGTTTTTAAAAACAAAAAAAAAACGGTTTCAAGTGAAAAAAATCTTTTATTTTACTGTATCATCTGTCACACCAAAGATTCAGTTTCAAATATATCGTTATATATATAAATTTAGTCATTATAGGTACAAAACTTGTTTTCTTTTTTAATGAATCCCATAGACTTGTGTTGCGCCTTTAATGTTTTCTCATAAAGTACTGCATATTTCATTAAACTTATTGCGCAGTATTATTAAGAAAGTTTAATCATTTTGACAGACATAATTTTTTTTTCGGATTTGTTCCGCTTTTGAAAATACAACAGATTTTCCCCAAATTTTGAAGTAGAATTTCAATTAATTACATTCACGATCCGATATCCGATCTTTCATGATCATTTCTCTCGATAAACCGAATGACACATTTATGATAGGCATAATAGGATGAACAAGATATCATCAAGATGCAAACAAAATCAACAATCGAATGAATATTTTATACACACTAAAGGAAACTATGAAATCACGCATTTATACATAGTCTACGTGAGGATGCACCGGAAATTGACAGTCAGGATTCTACTTCGTCAAAATTATCTCCCCAGCTAATTTTTACAATCGTAAAAATGGAAGCCATTTTAGGGACGACGCTCTTCCAATTTAGCTCTTGAAAACCGATATATTTATCAACATAGCACCATTACGATCCTTGGATGCCGGTTGTATTTCTAAAAGACAATTATCTACTAGCTATTGATCATCATTTAATGTACTTTTCTACATTTAGTCAAATTAAAACTATAGTCTGATCGGTTGTCAAGGGGAATTTTCGAAAGTTCAAAAACATTCAAAAACATTCTAAATAAATATTTTTCATGGAAGGGCAGACTAAACATTTTCAGAGTTTAAAGACTAATAACCCTAGTTAAAACACACAAAAATGAAGCTTTTTTGAAGTTATTCATTTTTAAGATCCAGTTGTAAAGTCTGTCGTCAAGTACTTTTAGCAAAACTTTGTTATTCGAACACACCTACACTGTTGTTATGACTCATTAGAAAGGTATTTCGCTTGACCCATATATATTATTTTTAGTACTGTGAATTTCAAATGTTATCAAATCAACCTGAAGCCTAAATATATAAATTTATAGAATCTGAAGCGAAATGATGTATCAAATAATTTTGCTTTAAACGTTTTCAGACAGAAAAGTCAACTCAAATACGCCCGAACACAAAAAGGTGTACTCGACTTTCTCTTTTCGGTGAAATAATTGCCCATTTTTAGGATTTTTTCCTAAAAAAAAACTATTGATTGGGGCAGAGATGCAACTTAATGCTTTGAAAAGATCAATCTTTTATCTTTCTGTGGATTTTTTTTCGGCGGAATTCATGCTTATGCACACAAAAAAAAATCCACGTGTATTTGCACCTATCACAATCGACTGTTTTATGAAAATGTGTCTATAATTTAAAAGTTTGAAAATATCTCGAAGCTCCATACTATAGTTTAAATAAAAACACGTATTTAAGTTGCATAAAATCATAAATTATGCATCTTCATTGAACTTTGAAAGCCCTTAGAAACAGATATAAACAATTCAAATATACCTATTTGGACTTTTTTACCTTCTCTTACAAAGAGTTCCATTTCTTATGTTCAATTTCATAAAAAAAAATGTTTTGCTACAACGGGGCGAGTCAACTAGAACACCCAAGGGTAGTGTAAAATTACATGTTCTCCGCATTGATAGTTTTTTTCTCACAGGGCGCGTATAACTGGTTGCATTTATAAAACATGATGCAGGTCATCTGTTCAGAAACTGTTATCCTGTGAAGGGGGAAAAGCCATCTAAAGATCCATTAGCTTAACAACAATGCGCATTAATATGAATGTGTGTCGTTGGGTTGCTGTCGTACAGGCATTCACAAAACAATTTATTTCATATTACAAGAAAAAGCAAACGTTGAAACTTGACCTGCCCTTTTCGCCACGTCAATTGTTTCCCCCTAACAAAAAAATCGAACACTTTAAGTTACATTTATATAAGAAAAGTAGGTTATGATTGCCAATGGGAAAACTATCCAACAGAAGCCAAATGACTAAAACAAAAATAGATCACCGGATTTAATCAATAATAGGTCACCGTACAACCTTTAACTATAAAAAAAGACCCATACAGGACAGTCCCGAGATGACAAAATATGATACAATTTAAACGAAAAAAACCAACGACCTGATCTATGACAAATTAATTCAGAGACGGATTTAGGGGTGGGGCAGGGTGCCCCCCCCCCTTTTTGTGGGAAAAATTTGGTTGATTATATAGGGAATCACTGAAGCATGACTGGAGCGGGCCCCCTCGTATGCAGTCAGTGGGCCCCCCTTCTTGATTCGCCACTGGAATTCACGGAAAACGGATATAGTAGACACCAACCAAAGATAACACTAAATAACAGACTCCTGACTTGTGACAGGCACATACAGAATGTAGCGGGTTAATATGTTTGTAAGCGCTCCACCATTCCCTAGCATAGGAACAATTGCGTTACAGCACAACATAAAAACAAATGTAGAAATCAGTCAGAAATGGCTTGACCCACTAGATCAACACGAAGCACAAGAAACGACTAACATGGAGACAAAAGACACAAAGCACCGATATATATATCTCGTAGTTACTGAACCCTAGTGCCATAACAACTAATAAATAAATAATTTCTCAATTTAAATCTATTCAGACGGAAATAAGTGAAATAAAACATTAGCATTTTGCCCAAATCGTGACGTCATATATATTGCCTTATTGGCATTGTTATATCATTGTAAATTTGCATGAAAGACAGAGGGATCGGTCTTTAAATTATCTGTTTTAAACACTGTTATTTGAAATCTAACTTTAAACGCATGTTGTCTTTCCTTGAGCTTCCAAGTTCATTATGAACATATCCGCCTCTGCCAGATTTTCTCTTAATACCATTAATGGTTTACAAGATAATAGACAATACTTGCATTTTATTCCTTTGCTCTATTTTTAGCCTTGGCGGCTATGTTGGTTGGCAGGCGGGGTAATCGAACACATTTTATTAATTTAATACACAAAACATGATGGTTCAATTTGGCCGAGTAGTTTCAGAGAAGATTTTTGTAAAAGTTAACAACAACGGACGACCGCGTATTAAGAAAAGCTGGCCCTATGGGCTGGGTGAGGTAAAAGAATGTTTTTACTTTGAAAGAAAGAAATGATAATTTTGATTTGGTTTATAAACACTATGCACAGAAAGAGATTTATTAATAAATAAAACGCATCGCTCTTTTCAGATTTTATAAACGAAAGCTGTATCATACAATGTATCACTACTATCATCGCAGATTTTACTCGACACTATCATGATTCCTGTTTCTCTGTTGATGTTTATTCCCCAAGGACTTTTGATTCCATCAGACTCGGACAGTATTGTCTTACTGGTTTGACCATCTGATGATACTACCACGATCCTGTTATTTTTTCTAGAGGCGATATAAACAAAGCCATTCTTGTCTAATGTAAGTCCTTGTATGCTGTTAACGTTGCTTAAGTCATGTGGCAGAAATGTCCAAAGAGGATCGCCATTGATTTCGTAACACTCTACATTGTTTTCAAAGGTGATATAGACATTTCCTTTGTATAATGAAATACAATCTCCGACCACTTCTAAATAAGATTGAGACATATCATCCAGATTCACTATTGAAGATTCCCTGACACTGCATATGATCAATTTTTGACCATCACTTGCTACTCCTTTACAATAATGAGAAAGTTCAATTGTTTGAATAATTTCATTCTTTTCTATATCCACCAATACTGTCTTGTATGCTGCACCTAATGTGACAGCCACTGTATTATTTCTAATAAAGCAAACATCACCTGGATAATTTGTAAATGTGACTACTTCTCTGATAAATATGCCGTCATTACCGAACAGCAGTAGTTGTTTGTCGTTGAAATCAGATAATATAAATCTACCATCAGGTAATGCCAGACAGGCCTGTATATTTAAAGTTTTCATGTCGTCTGGCATTGTCAGTCGTCTCAACAAGGATGGCTTAATTTGTTCAATTCCAGGTATATTTTGAATCAACTGTTGCGCTTGATCTGTTCTTCCGGTCATATTGGATTATGGTTCGTGCACAGTCTTGATTTTCTGTGAGATTTTTCAGTCTCCTTAAAAAAAACTATCTCACATTCTGTGCATGGAGATTTTATCATCGCGACCAACGTGTTTTACCGATGAGGCCATATTCTGAAATGTATAATGTTTTATTTCTTCTCTCAAAGCAATTTTTAGAAAAAAATAAATAGTTTGCCTCTAAATATTACCGTATATTAAAAACAAATGCTTTGTGTCTTTCAAATAAGTTAATTTTGCTTGAGCATGACATAGTCCGATTGTTTTTCAGCATTTAGTAAAAGATCTTCACTGAAATCCTTGAACTAATTAAAACTGACTTATATCTCGGTTTTGTACCGTTGGTAGTTGTTTCAATGCCGTAGACCTAATGTCTTAGTCTAGGATATCTTTATGGATCATTTCTTATGACTTAAAGATGTAGTCTCTATCTTTAAGTCACAAGGAATGATCCATAAAGGAATCCTAGATTGTTTGTTTGGATAACATGATTTTTGAGTGAATTTGAAATTGGGGGGAAGGGGCATATTTTTTTTCTCTCTCGGGAAAAAGAACTTTTCCAATTTTGATATATTTTTTTTTAATTAGACACAAGACGAAGACTTTTTTTTAATTCAACAGTGTTATTGTTTTTACTGGTTTCCCGTATAAACAAACTGTTAATTTTCATTACCCTTCGGAAACTTTACAAAAAAATAGAATCAAAGGGTTCATTTACTATTTTTTTTTTCGAATGTTTTTCTTTGTGTGTTTGTAAATCCATCGATCATAATGAAAACTAAAGGCTTTAAAAAACCTGTATCGCTCACCTGTATCTTCAACAATGGCCACTTTTTAGTAAAACAATATAATTAAAATATAGAACTCGGACTCGTATGTAGTATAACGAAATCCGAGTTCTATATTTTAATTAGATTGTTAGTAAAAATCATTATTAAAGAGTTATAAATCTATTAAGAGTAAAATGACAATTTCCGTCATGTTCATGTATTTGAAGATCTTATCCTGCTGATAATTTTTTTTCTTTTTTATTTAACTTCTATAATCAATTATCAGTAAAGGGCAATAAGTCTAAACACGAGTCGACTGAAAATTTCGTCCATTATGGCTTATTTGTGGATCTTGTCTCGCTGATCACTTGTGCTTTTTACAGTTTCTATCTATCTATTACAGTTTTCAAGATAATAGGAACAAATGTGAAAAAAACGTCAATAAAGGGCAATTACTTTAATTAGGAGTCGACTAAAAATTTCGGTCGTGTTGACTAATTAGTTTTATAACCTGTCCTAATAGTTATCAAAGGTACCAGGATTATAATTTAATACGCCAGACGCGCGTTTCGTCTACATAAGACTCATCAGTGACGCTCAGATCAAAATAGTTATAAAGCCAAACAAGTAAAAAGTTGAAGAGCATTGAGGACGCAAAAATTCCAGAAAGTTGTGCCAAATACGGCTAAGGTAATCTATGCCTTGGATAAAAAGTCCTTAGTTTTTCGAAAAAATCAAAGTTTTGTAAACAGGAAATTTAAAAAAAAAATGACAATATAATTGATATTCATGTCAACACCGAAGTGCTGACTACTGGGCTGGTGATACCCTCGGGGACGAAACGTCCACCAGAAGTGGCATCGACCCAGTGGTGTAAATAGTTATCAAAGGTACCAGGATTATAATTTAATACGCCAGACACGCGTTTCGTCTACTTAGACTCATCAGTGACGCTCAGATCAAAATAGTTATAAAGCCAAACAAGTCAAAAGTTGAAGAGCATTGAGGACCCAAAATTCCCAAAAGTTGTGCCAAATACGGCTAAGGTAATATATGCCTTGGATAAGAAAATCCTTAGTTTTTCGAAAAAATCAAAGTTTTGTAAACAGGAAATTTAGAAAAAAAATTACCATATAATTGATATTCATGTCAACCTAAGTCAGGAACCTGTTGTTCAGTGGTTGTCGTTTGTTGATACGGTTCATAAGTGTTTCTCGTTTCTCAATTTTTATATAGATGAGTCCGTTGGTTTTCCTGTTTGAATGGTTTTACACTAGTCATTTTCAGGGCCCTTTATAGCTTGCTGTTCGGTGTGAGCCAAGGCTCCGTGTTGAAGGCCGTACTTTGACCTATAATGGTTTACTTTTTACAAATTGTGACTAGGATGGAGAGTTGTCTCATTGGCACTCATACCACATTTTCTTATATCTAATTAGTAGATCTTATCTTTCTGATCATTTTTGCTATTTGAAAAAAATTGAAAACAACACGTTTAATAATTTCATGCGTCCGAAGCGCTTTTCTGGATTTACCTTCATGAGGAATGCTCAAAGCCAAACATTTGAAATCCGAGGGATGTATAAGTACCGAAACAGTTGAAGAGCTATATGACAAAAATACCTAAAACAAATAGCCAAATTCATCTAAGGTCAACTTTGCCTGAGGGAGTTGAAACCTTAGTTTCTTTATAATTTCAAAATTTAACAACGGACAATTTTAGAAAGGTTTGTTATAAATCATGTCAGTACCGAAGTACTGACTACTGAGCTGATGATACCCTCGGGGACTGATAGTCCACCAGCAGAGGTATCGACCCAGTGATGTAAAAAATTGAAAATAACAAGTTTAATAATTTCATGCGTCCGAAGCGCTTTTCTGGATATACCTTCATCAGGAACGCTCAAAGCCAAACATTTGAAATCCGAGGGATGTATAAGTACCGAAGTTTCTATCTATCTAATATAGTTCTTAAGATATTTAATAGGCAAAAACGCAAAAATAAAATGATAAAAATCGTTATTATAGGACTCCTGCCGGCCCATTATAACAAAAAATATCTCCAAGGTAAATTATAAAAAAGGGAACTCCATAATAATTGACAAAATGAAACGTTAGTTTTATCGACCAACGGAATGAATGGAAAACGTCATATTCCTGACTTCGTACAGACATTTTCTGAAGGAAATGGTGGCTTAAACCTGGTGTTATAGGTAGCTAAACCTCCCACTTGTATGACAGTTGTTCATAGTTCCGTTATATTGATAAAATTGGATAAGCAACCAAAACAGACATATATAATATGTCAACAACTGGTCATTTCCTGACACACTTTCGCAAACTTTAAAGTTGAAAAAGGGTATTTAAATTGTAAATGAATGAAATATAGCCACTGGACACTAACCGAACAATCGATAAATCAGCAATGAATTTGAGATAATTCATCTGAAAATGAACGTGTTCTATATGTATATTTGACTGACTAATGTTAACGTATTGTTTTTTTTTTTTTTTTTTTTTTTTTTTGTGGGGGGGGGGGGGGGGGGGATAAACATTTATTTTCAAAGAAAACTCCAGTTTCACACATTACATTTGTCAAGTTGCATTTCGGATATCATATAAATTAACTTTAGTCAGTCAAATATACATACAGAACACGTTCATTTTCAGATGAATTATCTCAAATTCATTGCTGATTTATCGATTGTTCGGTTAGTGTCCAGTGGCTATATTTCATTCATTTTCAGGCGAGAACAAATTAACAATAAATCCAAAAGATAGGTCCTGCAAAAGTGGGTCGACCTGGATGATATGCGGGAAATTTGGAATGCCACTAAAAATAGAGGGTATATTGGACAGAATATACCAACTAACGTAACGAGCCCTTCCAAGAGTTGTTGCACGTACAGTGAGTGTATGAAAATATTGATAGCAAAATCAACATTTGATTGGTTGACTCGGAGTGTCCCATGTGACTCATATTCCCCCTCCCCCTCTGAACATCGGGATTTCCTCGTGCGACGTTACGGGCTAATGCTGTGAACTTTTTTTTAGACAGCGATAGTATAGTCATTATAGTGTTTATCTAAGGATTGACTGTAATATTTTTTCTCTCTATGAAGAAATAACATAAAAAATGTGGTACACACTGAATATCCCGTGTGCACCACATTTTTTATGTTATTTCGAACAGACAGAAAAAGTGTTACAGTCAATCCTTATACATGTAATCAAATGACAAAATTATGTCAGGCTATGAGCTGATAGACCAAAAACTTTCAGCCAATCAGAAGACATGTTACATCCAAAATTAAATTGTTATTTAAGACGGTAAAATAAAATAGAAAAAAACAACAGCATCAACTTTTGATCGGTACTGTTTATCAATGTTTATTTCGTGTTTACGTTATAATAACAAGTGGCTCTTAGGAAAATTCTGTTGTAGGGTTAACAAAGTGGAAAATACGCCGTTAAAAGGTTTGTAACTTTTAAATTATTAACTTTTTGATATTCAGGCTTCCTCCTTAATTGTTACAATATTTGGGGAATTGATATCTAATGGCAGAGCTTTTATTGTTACTGTTTGATTTATTCACAATCTTTAAAAATTTCGTGACGATTAAGAACTTGACATATTGTGTAGACACCTATTTATTGTTTAAAACTATATGTGGTCTCTAAATTTGCTTATGTTATTTTTGTCGTTTGATTGCTGTCTTATTGACATATAACCAACAAATCCTACAGTTTAAGTTCCGCTTGATGTGCTTTTGAAAGTTTTGTGACAAATCATAACTGAAAGGACTCAATAACCCTGGATATTGAGTATATTAGATTAATTGCTTTTATTTCCCTCAAGAATATGCTTTGATTAAGATGAATCGAGGAGAGATGTACCTAAATTCATAGTACACAGTTTTCAATTTTTAACCCCCCCTATTTTTCAACCAGATCAATTTTGAAGACATGTCGAATCTAAACGAAGTCTGATTGATCTGCAACATATATGTTTTCCTGTTATGGCACATACTTGAATATGAACTTCATTAAATTCGATCCCAAAATAGTCACTAAAAAGGAATAAATACTTTTAAAGAAACATCGAATTAAGATTTACATTTTACCTATGTCAAAAAATGTTCCAAGTAAAGATTTAGCATGTTTTAGCATTAAATCGTCAAATATAAATTTAGACTCGTTTCACTCGGCGGTATTTCTTCTATTTTATTGAATTACGCCCCTTTTGAAAAATCCTGGATCCGCTTCTAAAGGTTCTTTTGAACTCTGCAATATACATGACACATCTGAGGTAGTTATTGCACACCTTATCTGTGCATTATGCAGATTATAGCAAGGTAAAAACACAGAGATTTTTGCCTATCTCATGTGTTAAGGACTGTTTCTAGAGTATTATCTCAGTGGTCAAGGTTGTCATGCCAGAGAATGGTCTGTGCTCAGTCTGGTGGTTAGGCGGTAACACCTGATTATACATTCTAATTTTGGAATAAAAAATTCATTGCCTCGGACAATTGAATTATTTTAACAATGTTACATTCTTACCATGTACATTTCAACAGAAAGGAATTCCCACAGGGAAGTAAAATGTCTTATATCAGGTGTACATACGTAAAGAATTATTGATTCAAATTTAAATACTTGTCTGAACAATGAAGAAGAACATTGACGAAGCGTCACTTTTTGTGTATCTTTTAATTACACAGATTTGATATGCCTTGTGGCTTGATTTAAATGTATATGAACTTGAACTTAAAGACACAAATCTTTGAAGAATCGTATACTTTTGTATTGAAACAAATTAGATGTAACTTTTCTTTAAAATCAACAAATACTTTTTCGTCACGTTTATTGGAAAATACGAACAGATTATCATGACAATTGAACAGATTCAATTGGTTGCTAAATATTTTTTTTGGTTTTTATCTACGTATAAGATTTGGATCAATGATTAATTGTTGGTGTTTAACGCCACGTTCAGCACACTTGACTTTATCATTGAGGCTAGGTTTTTTGTTATTGGTGGAGGAAGCCGAAATACCACCGACCTTCGGCAGGAAAAATGGCAATCCTTGTCAATTAAGATTGGAATTGATGCACCTGTCACGACAGGGTTTGAACTAACAACCCGAACTCGGCCATCGGGGCCAGTGCATGTAGGAAGTCTGATGTGAAATAACTTATGAGTTTTAGATTCAGCTGTCATTGATTTCTGTAGATTTTTGTGACTATCTTTCACCAACTTTTAGTTAGATTTTCCCTGCTTAGTTTATTCAAAGGTGGTGGGAACGGGTGGCAATATAGGAGCTTCAGTAGGGTACTCCTCCTCCTTAGGACACAAGGTCACTTTAAATTATTACCTCAGGTCACCAGGTCACGTTTAAGCAAATTTTACAGATTTATGTTGAAGAATTTACCTGTGTTATAGGTCACAAGTCCTTTAAAATGAAGCGTCAGGTCGCAAGCTCATCTGCCAAACCCCTAAAGGTCGTAAGTCGTAGGTCGGATGTAACTATGTTGGAGCCACATATAGCAAGACCACACTCTCGAAAATTTAGACAGCGAAAAAATATGTCAAAATCTCTAAAGGAATTAAATGAGACCACGTCTAGTGAGTGAGGTGGAAGCGTTTGCTACGTGTTGAACGCAACAATGTGACTTTCAGATGAACAACAACACTAAATCCTTGTTTTCGTATGGATTTGGTCGTGTTAAGTGCGTGTTGGGATTATCTGTCATGAACAATTACACCACGAAAGTCGAAAGTCGTACATGCATGTGTCGTTAGTAAAAGACATTTGAAGTATTTATTCGGAATATAATATCAAAATACCTGTCGGGAATTAAGACTGAAATAAGCTTTACCTCTCTCGGTCTTGTTCTCTTTTTGGTGTTTGGCTCTGAATATTTCACTGAAGGTTCAGACTTTCAATTTTTCGATTTCGTGCGCTCTTAAAAGCGACAAAGAATATGGAAACACGTCATCTTTATCGGCTTGTTTACTTAATTGTTTTGGTCTTACGGAAAACTTGAACTGTAGTCAACCTTTTCAACTAAATTGGTTATAATCCATTTCAAGCCAAGCTTATTTTCAAGTAAGAATAACAATTTGTATACAGTTTGCCAAACTGATGTCCTGCAAAAGCCGCGAATTTCACTTCTACAATGACGTCACGTCATTCCGCGAAATTATTTTCAGACTCAATCAACAAATGGAGTCTGATGTGAAGAATGGACGGATTACTAAGTACCTAACTATATGTCTTTTGTCAGCAGCAGTTGTCGGAGTGACGATTTACATCTATTGCTGGTCTCGAAGACGGGAGTCCGACGAAACAGACGATAAGGTAATTGTCATATGAGTTTTTTTTCGCTGCTTCTACCTTATAAACAATGACAACTTCTTTTTCTTAGGTGTTCAGTTATCCATCAGATTATGATTACTAACTGCTGTAACATGATGAGATTAAACATGTTATATCTTAAAAATATTTTTTTTTTGTTAGTTCAGTTTGGTTCTTCGATTCTTTTAAAAAAAGGCACATGACCAATTCCGAAACACTGCATGGATTAGTCCAATCAAATATAACTTTTTCACAGCGTTATGTAGTTTTGCATCCTGCTTTTGGTTATGGCATCTAATATTCAAAAGAAAGGACTAAAAAGACGTCAATTAAAATGTCGGCTTCAATTGCAATCCACTTCTTCCGATACCTAACCATAACCCTAACCTAGAACCTTTCCTAATCTAACCATAACCATAAATGAACAATAACCCTAAAGTATGTGACCCCCTAAAGTAAAAGAAGGCCCTTTTTGGTTTGTTTTTCTATTTTGCATTCCTTCTATTTTGCATTCCTATGATAAGATTTAGTTATTATCTTCTATCTATCTTTGTATTTCCTCACTCAGTCTCAACTTTGACTAGTACGTGCCGTTGCATGCTACATGTACTAGGCTTATGTACAATTTAAAAGAAATAAATTTTTCAGTAATATTACGTTACATTGGTGAACAGAAAAAAACATAAATTACAGTGATTTATTTAATTTAAAAAAAAAAATTTTGATGGATTGTTTTTTTTCTTGGTAAACTATTTACATGTTGTGCGGTGTTTAAAATATTTGTGAAAAAGCAGATATATAAATCTGCTCTTTGAAGCCGTCAACTTTTGTACAAAGGGTTACTGATGTTGGAAGTAGATTCCATTGTACTATTGTGTGCGGATAAAATAAGAATTTTAAGAATCTTTAGTGGTTTGAATTTGTTTAGTCTAATAACTAGATGAGAACTTTAAGAAATCGTCGCCGTTTCTCTCCCGGTTTTATAACGGGTTCATTTCTATATTATTTGTGTACATGTTCACTGCTGCAATAAATATGGTTAAATAGAGTTTTTAGGTTAAGTGAATTAGACAGCAACACATTACCAAATGACATCTTTGATTCATCTTCAGGACAGCGTACAGTACGTCCACAACAAAAGAAAATGAAGCCCATTGAAATAGTCACGAGTCGAAAACAGTTGTGAATGAATTTAAGAGATCAAATTCATATTTTCATCTTTCTTAATTTTAATGTATAACAACGAAATCCTTAAAGGCGGTTTTCTTATCTCAAAAGAGTGTAAAAAAACGTTTTTAATACGCGCTTATTCACAAACCTTACCAAAAGAGCATGTTTAGATCTACATAAACTGTTCTGAAGTCGCCTATTTTGAAATCATATTTTTTTTCATCATAAATGTGCTATGCAATTACAAAGTCGGACCCCACACTATACATCATGCCACTTGCTTTATATAGGCAGTGATACAGTTTGTCACACGTACCGGTTGGAGTCGTGTCTCTTTTAAAACTATTCTAAAATTGTAAGCAAACTACGTAATTGGAAATGGACGATATGGATAATGAATAATAAACAAGTATGATACAAATTTGAAAAGATTTAGTTTCGATGCACATTTGACTTCTTGTAAGTGATCATTCAAATCTATATATAGTTTTATATATATTAAAAAAAAATCTATTTTTAAATAGGTTGACAGCTGTAGCGTCAGTGATCAAAGTATTTCTGAATCATCGGAATATGACATTTCGTCTATAACAGAGAGTTTATGTGACGATGAAGACATTTGTACTGTCGTCCCTGAATTTCAATGTGCCGGGAAAGAAGAAAAAGAATCAACAGAGTCGGACCCTTACATTTCGGCTTCATCAGTCCTATCGAGTTCAACCAGCTCTACTGAAACTTTCTCGTCAGAGATATCACTGACAGAATCAACATCATCTACAATAGACACAGAATACAGCAATAAAAGAACAATATGTGGGGTAGAACTTGAAGACGATATCAACTCAAATCATGCAACACCACAGACATTCGAAGCTCAACTGAACTCGCCTATTATAGTTCCCCATGCTGGAACTAGATTTTCGTCCTCATTGTTCAACACAGATCATCACAACTTGGAAAGTAAGGTCGTAGCAAAAACCGTCTCTGAATATTCGGACTCCCTAACGACGATTCAGCGGAACATGGATCAGTACAGGATGATAATTAAACCAAATAGCCCATCTACTGTTCAATATATTATGTAAACATAGAACTATATATGAAAACTTTGACAATCATGTAATACAATTGTTACCACATAAAATAAGTATTCAATGAATTATACCTCAAGCGAATTTATGTTTTATTTACAATGGCAACCACGCTAACATGTCGTGGGTAAATAAAGCAAATACACTTTGTGCGTGTAAAACTAAAAATTTCAGATATTCTCTATAAATCATTGTCAAGAATTTCATTTATTGTCTCTTTAAGATATAAAGGACAGTTATGAGTGTTCAATATATTTTTAGTCTTCCGGTAATCCCGATTTTTCTTTGCTTGTTTCTTCGATTTCAACAGTCGCAGCATCGCTGAATAGTGATTCCTGAAATAATTCATACTATTTCAATATCGATTATCGTAAATAAGACAGCAATCCAACAATTAACAGAGCAAAAATAATCCGTGCATCTTGAGGTTAAAATAAGATCCCAAAAATGAACAGAAATAAAATTACTTAATGTGACGAGTCTTGATATCTAAATCTAATAGAGATGACATAATTATTGAAATCGATATTCAATTAACAAAAACGGACAATCTTAAAATCCGCCGACAAGGTTAATCATATCAAATGAGCTAACAGTTTATCGAATGACAATTATCTATCTTTCGATGTGTTGTTGTCCAACACTTGCGTGTAACATAAAGTCGTGTTGGATTATGATTTGTTTCGTTTCGTTTTGTTTTGTACTCAAATTGGTGGCAACTAAGTAGATCCCCTCCTTTTTCAAATCGCTTGTCCTTCTTCTTTTTAAAAATCTGTAAATACACCATATACGGAGCCATTGCATGCAAAGATTGGTACAATAATTTTACCCGAACGTTATGGAATATACAGATGACGACGGATAAGTTCTAATTGTCGTAACCACAATCACGCCCTCTTTTCCTCGAATGTAACCTACCGAATTAGACTTACCATGGGTTTGTACTTACATGAGTAACACGACGGGTGCCACATGTTCAGCCTACTCTTCCGGAGCACCTGAGATCAACCCGGTTGTTTGGTGGTGTTCGTGTTGCTCAGTCTTTGATTTTCTTTATTGTGTTTTGTATACTGTTGTTTGTCTTTTGATGTCTTTTGATCGTTTTTGTTTTTTGTGCCATAAAATTGTCAGTTTATGTTTGACTAACGAGTTTGAATGTCCCTTTGGTATTTTTCGTCTCTCTTTTACCTGAACGTATGTATCGTAAAGAGGATTATCAAACCCGGATGTGTCAAATGTAGGTTGCTCTTCACTTTCCAATGGAGGTGGCATCAGTTCCAAATCCATTGGCTTATCTCCCTGAAATGCATATAAAAACTATTTTGTACATGTTAAGATCACAGTATTTACTTTCTCCCTCGAGTTTCCGGGACGACATTTTATTAAAATAAAGAAAAGAGTCATTCAAAGGTAGGCGGATGTCTATGAATAAGATGAGCAGAAATATCTATGTAGTACTAGTGGTATAATTCGACTTTTCAGAATCAAAAGGACTATGGGTAATCTCATTGTTCGTACACCAAAATGAAAATAACTCAACGTCATTGGTTGAATTCAATTGTTCAGGACATTTCAACCAATCACAACGTTTTGGTGTACGCTTTTGAAAATATTACCCAGAATGCATTAGATTCTGAACCGATGAATTGGAAACCCACAAATTTACTCGGATAAAAAAATCAAAATTACAGATGAACAATTTCATGTCCTGCAGAAAAACCTGTGCAAATTTGGTAGAATTTTGTTAAGCTTTTTATGAGTTGCGGATTAAGTGTGAGATAACGATGATGCATGCGACGACGCATGACGACATAAGTGATTCCTTTGTGTTGCCCGATCTGGATATTAACAAATCAAAACCATATTTCTAAAAATCAACAAAGTCAATATATCACATTAGCATTAGTAAATTTCCTAAGATCAACAAATCGAAATACTTACGCCGAGAGGAGAATTTCCGAATATTGGATTTTCAAAGCCTTGATGAGATGGTCCGACATTTTCCACTTGCTCAGATCTAAACGAAAATCGTAAGAATGGGGGTACCTCAACGTGTGGTCTCTTTACTTTCGGTCGTCGGAAAGAAATTCTGTCAAATACTTTGAATCTAGAAATTTCTGGAATACTACAACATAACATACATGTTATTATATGATAATATATCAAGTGTAATTAATACATCTGTTACATATGTAAGTATGCGTGTGTTTGTGTCTGTGGGTGTTTGTCACAGTGTTGGAGAAGGGATTTGAAAGTATCTAAATTGAAAAACAAAACAAAGATTTACAGGGCTAAAATTAGAAAAAAGAACTTTTTCACAAAATCTCTCAAAAATAAGTTACAAAAATATGTTTGGTCGTTTACAAAAGAAACAGCAGACAAATTTGTTTTCAGTAAGAGTTGGTGCCTACATTCGACCTGTAGCTTAAATTTGGGGATGATGTCGGTAAACTTTTTTGAACGCTAAAGCCACAAAATTTTAAGATACAAGTAAGGATACAAATTTCAAGATTTTTTTACTGACATATATTTTTCCCTGAAGCATATTTATCAGAGCTTCATAATTAAATCAATTTGGCTTATGAATTTTTTTTAAGGGTTGTCAAAAAACACAAAATTACCATAATATCAATTTTGAGCCCTTTGTTTCTCGAAAATAAGCACGGCTACCCTTTGTTTTATTCTACTTTATTTTTTAGAACCGTTCATCATTTCTAGCTCAAAATCGCAAAAAATTACACTACATATAAAAAAAAGTATTGACCCCCCTTTTAAATAGGGGCCTTTGTGGCCACGTAGTACCTTCTCCTTCTGTGCAGAAAGAAAAGCCCGGCAAATACAATACCAATAAAAGCCAATATACCAATCACTATACCAGCAGTTTCTCCTCCATTTCCTCCGCTGCCACCTAAAAATGCACAAAAACGGTATTTATTATTAAACTCAAAAAGAGCTGTGACAACATCGTACAAGAATTTGAAGTAAGTATTTTAAAATACTTATAAGCACCCATCAACGTGCGTACAAACATTGAGCCTCGTGTTTCATTACGCTACTGCTAGAATTTAATGTTACTGCGGAACCGTAATTTTAATGGTACTTGTGATGTTTTCTGATATAGCTATTGTCCGTACATATTGGAATTCCACAAAGAACCAAAGAGATTTGGTTCTGCAGTTAGGTCTGAAGCAGAGTTAGATAAATACCAAAAAGACCTCTAGATTACCACATAAAAACCTTCCAACCCAGTACCCTACACAATTTTTGAAATGAACGTTAAAAGCGTAAAAAAAACATGAAAGAGTTCTGGGTTATACGAGGATGCTATAATCCATGCATTCATTTCAAGACCTCTCTTTTTATGAAACTATAATATTGTGCACTTTAGTAACACGAGGCGCGGCGTCTGGAGCTGTGCATGAAACGCAGCTCATTATTCCGATCTTCAAATGTACAGGTATTATGTGAGTACCTGTTCGTGCACCTGCACTAGGAGTATGAATTGCGGGTCCTGATTGCTCAATTGCTATTTTGCGAAGACTGTACTTAAATCCACCGGACAAAATATCTATAAAAACAAGAACATATCATTGTAAAACATATATTTAGAAGTGAAAATCGCACATAGGAGTTACATATACAATATATGAACATTGGAAAATATAAAATTTATTTATCCAGCTTTGAAAATAGAGAAAAGCGAGGCTCTTTTCTCCTGTTTTCGTTTACTCAATATATGAGTAATAGGAGATCGACTTTATTTGTATAAGCACAAATAAAGCAAAACATTATTTGTGTACCTGATATTTGTACAATAGTTGGCTGATTGCAGGATAAATATTGATTTCAACTTAAAGCTTTTTGTCAAGGGTACACATCTGAGATTTTTACATCAAACGAAACTGCCTCGACGGGCTTGTTGTAGTGTGCTCGGCTCGAGTGAGGTTGTTGGTTAAGATTCCCGACTGCGTCCTATAAAAGAATTTGTTTAATACTAGTGTTGGTATTTACTGCTTCTTCGCCAAGCACACAGGATTTAGGAGTAAGAGGAAGATCCGCTCGGAGCCAGAAGAATATACGTATCCGATTAGGGAAGTATTCTTCCATCGGATTTTATCTTGTGATAGATCACACTACAAATCCGAAATGAGTGTGCCAGTCTAGTACAAAGTAAGGTATATTTATATGTCATTTACATGTTATCGTCCTGAATATGCATATAATTACATTACATTTTGTACATATATGTTTGATCAGAACCCGTCATTTTGATTGGCTGACAACAATCACGAGGTACTCCAATGTCATATTTTATTTCAGTATAAAAGATACAACAGCTATGACTGCACGTGCTATCCGTGGCAATATTAAAAAAAATGCATAGGAAAACAAACGAAAAACTTCATATAATTCTTAATTTTATAGTTGCAGCATAATTTTGTAACTATAAGAATTGAATGCTCCTTTTTATAATTTTACAGGGTTGTGAAAGCGTTGATCATGCGCACGTTTTTAGTATGAAGAGCGCTTTATACAAAATGTGCTTCGGTCAACGTTTTTACAACCCAACAAAATTATGGTTTTGTCAAAGAACGTCTCGTCCTGTTTCTAAAAAAGTTCATTGGAAGATACCAAGACCTTGTCAACTTCACAAATAATACAGGATGGTCTTGAAGTATACATTCTAGGTACTGACGTTGTTTATCATCTTAATTACGTCTTAAAGTTCCTCCTTTTTTTTCGTCAATGTATATTTTTAACCTTTACTGTTTATCCATTTTTGATTATATACTTATGACGTGGACTTATACATCTCGCTATTGTGTTATTGTGCTATGGTCAATTTTGTCTTTCATTTTTGCTTATGTACTTTGTCTATATGCCATTTTGTGTTTCTTTGTTGAAACAGTTATTTGTTTTTATAGTGATTAAGATTATATTACAATGTTGACTGCTGTACCTCAATTTTTGACGTTTTTACCTGTTGTGTCTGTTTGTTTTGCTCACACATTGTTGTCAATATAATGGAATTCTATGCGACTGTTATACAAGTGAGAGGTATATCTAGCTATAAAACCAGGTTTGATACACCATTTTCTACATACGGAAATGCCTGTACCAAGTCAGGAATATGACAGTTGTTTGCCATTCGTTAGTTGTGTTTGAGCTTTTGGTTTCGCCATTTTATAAAGGACTTTCCGTTTTGAATTTCACTTGGAGTTCGGTATTATTGTTATTTTACTTTTTATAAAAAGAAGCATTCAATTCTTAAAAATTTCTAAGCAAAAATGTTCAAGAGGAAAACATGTTTCTTGATATAACCAAATTAAATTAGTTCTGGCGTCTAGTCTTTCAAAGATAAAAGAATTTGTATTTAAAAACAGTCCTGAATAAAAATATACGAAATGTTCAGCATCAAACCTTGATCAATATCTGCCTTCATCAGTGTTGCAACATGTATACTCTGTAGACCACCATGCTTGTCTGTCAGAGATATTTGTATTTTATCATTCGATGTCCGTGAAATGACAAATTTTACATCTTTAAAGTCCTCCTTTCCATCGAGTTGATTCCTCTGTAGACCGTTTCTTAACGTGTCAAACTTGAAACCAGTACCATATTCAGCCGTCAGTTTAGCGCCTGTTGTAAATGTTAAATTTTTATTACAAATGATTACACGATTTAAGCGTTCAGGCTAATTATCCAGTGGTTGTCAGTTTGCTGCCTCATGATCGTATAACCCACATGATCTTTAACTCCAATTTCTTTTCCTTTTTCCTTTAGCAGATAATGCACGTTCTTAACAAATCCCGAAAACCACAGGAACAGTGCTAATCTTTTCAAAGTCACATAAGAATTTAAACCTGAGCAAAAGCTCACAAACCACAGTGGCAGTTAATTCAAGATGGAACCTAGCACTTTCAACATGTGTCTATTCTTTTTATGTGTCTGTGTGTGTGTGTTTTATGGTTGTCTCATTGACTTATTTCATTCCTGTTAGTCTCATAGTTTTCACATTTTTTTATTTTTTAAGAAACGTTAACTTTCTGAGTAATAATCAAAGATTCCCAAATAAAAACAAGATCGACTAACTTACCACATATTTCACAGCATCCACCTGTAAGGATAATTGGATGTTTACAGGCTTGCTTTGCACAATAAGGTTTCTGTATACTGCATATTCTTTGTAAAATCTGTTGAAATAAGTAGACAAATGAAATCGTTTACTTGTGCGTAAACAGGCAAATTGCAGAGAGGTATGAGAAAGGTTTGTTTCCTGCTAACGACGCAAGTGGAGAGTATGATTATATTGTACAGACCACCAATCAGTTCATAAACTTGCTTTAAAAATTGGTACTACATGCCATATGGATAATTCGCCCAAATTTGGTTGAAATTAGTTCAGTAGTTTCAGAGATCTTTGAAAAGGGTTTACGACGAACGATGGACACTGGACGTCGGACACCTGAAGACGGACACAGGACAACTGACAACGGACGACAACGAACATCAAGTTATGGCTTAGTCTCCCATGGGTTTTTGTGCTAGGCGAGCAAGAAATCAGTACGACGACATGTACAATATACAAAATATAAAGCTTCCCTTGATTGAAAGGCAGTGTAGACAATACATTACGACAATAATTTGAAACATTTTTTTCCTTCTAACTGATCAGGGAATCCGATTTCTTTTTTTAGAAAAAAAAACATACCTCCACCCTCGGCCAAGTTAAATGGTCGTTCCTTTATACATTTCTGCAGGCAATATTTTAGACGAAACGTTTTTAGTAGACGTATAGGTTTTAAGTAATTTGTGAAAAAGGTTCATTTTCTTACCTCAGGTATGTCGTTTCCACAAGTACACCCTAGTGGGTTATTACACGGTCGTCTTGAAATTTTGATCTTTGATCTTTCTCCAGTGTGGGGCTTTGGAAACATCCGTGAACCCATATCAGTCTTTATGAACGAAGAGAAAGTGTTTGTACTTAAAGCCTAAAAGAAAGAAAAAATAAGATAGATGATTTATATAATAAGCAAATATTAAGCATGAGTATTTTTTTCCAATTTACCACACTAGCCTGTCTTAATTAATGACACCAAATCTCAACATGTCCTGGGAAAACCTGAAGCAAAGAAGCAGCACTTTTGTTTCTATTTTTCATCTGATTGATTTTATTGATTAGTTGTGTTTAACGCCACTGTCAGCACTCTTTGCTATATTATGGCAGTCATTTTTTTTTTGGCTAGCTAGTAACTCGAATACTGTCAGTCGTTATATTCCGCCGATCTCCGACTTATAATCTCCGATTGCTACATTGACATGTCGATAGGTTATAGACCGTTAGAGGGCGCAGAACTATTCGAATTAGCTAAATAGATACTTAGCTGTTACCTTTCCAGATATTTTCAGAGTGTTAACCACTATCTCCATCTCAGCTTCTACGTTTACAAAAAAAGAACTGTCTTTTGGGAAGATCACATTATCATACGAGCAAGGAACCATTTCCGATTCCAGGACCATATCCGTACAGTTTCCTGTCTCTGTAGTAGATGTACACCAGTTCTTGGGATCAAACCAGTCAGATGGATAAGTCTTGTTAAAATGGACCTCTGTAAAAGGTTTTTGTTTCACATTTTATCTATCAAATTTTAAACTTTGAGTATGAATAGAAAAAATAATTGGATATACGTCAATGACACAGCAACAAAACGACACAGATAACTGAACGACATCCATGATCCAGAGGTTATTCCACCGTTTTCAACAAGAGCCATATGTTAATATTCGTTTACATTTTTCATCGAAAATTTTTCTTATTTAGTCAAATCTACATAACAGTTCATTACCGTTATTCATTGAAATAAACTATTATACCAAGAAAGGTAATAAACTGTGTTTATAATAATGAAACAATGTTCGTATATTTTGCCCAGTATTGATATGTTTTCCATTGTCTAAAGCAAAGTAAAGATATGAATTTACTTATTGGCTGAAACCGATCTGAATGCCGCTTACCTTGTCCGTTACTGAGACAGCTTGGGTTGTTGTCAGGGACATCTGTAAATCCAAGAACGAAGTCGTTGTCCAGTATGAGAGTTATGTCAGTCGATGGTAATCTCTGTGAAAAACAGGCTTGTGACATGTAAAGTAATGTAGAATACACATCTAAATATCTATTTGATTAGGTCAAACTCTATTCCTCACGATTTTGTTCCATAAAGTAACGAGAAAAAAAAAATAATAATATTTAAAGCTGTGAAACCTAAGATGATTTGTTTTATGTATTTGCGTATGTTGTCATCAATTTGAGAAGAGATTGTATACATTTCTGTAGCGTTAAATAAAGACTTATCATATATAGTAGAAAACAGACACTTCATTGTGTTGATATTACTCCATGGCTTTGTTCTTTAATTCACCGTTGTGGCGTGATCGTCAGTCTGCATAGAATTCCGCTCAAACCGGTGCCTGTGGCTGTCTTAAACTTGCAGTGAGATGAGAGTTTTTACTCTGTGTTGAAGGTCTCATTGTGACTTTGAGATGAAGAACAGTGCGCTGTTCCTTTGCTTTTTATGTTTTTGTTGTGCATGTACTGATTTTGTGTCATGGATGGATACCCCATATCTTTCTTTTCTATAAAGTCTTACCAGTTCTTTTAGAGTTGTGTTCATCTGCATGTACACAGATGGACTGTCATCACTAAACACAGCTATGGTGTCGCCACAAGGGGGTTTCCCGGAATCCCAATTGTACGCATAATCAAAATTAGTATTTGGAATCCAGCGTTTGTAATTCCCTTCTGCTTGTACTATTGAAATAAACATATTACTATAGTCTGTTTCATACCTAAATTTGTTGATTTGCCATTATAAATACATTCTGGCCATCGATGTACACGATCTTTTGACACCTAAAAATATCTTGCCATACCGGAGTACCTGAGTTCACCCGTTTTTATTGGTTTCTTGTTGCTCACTCTTTTAATTTTTTATTAAGTGTTTTGTGACCTTTTATTTGTTTTTTCATCGTGTTTCATTTGGCCATGGTGTTGTCTGTTATGATTTGCATCCTTGGTATCTGTCATCCTCTTGATTCTAATTCCTCTGTTTAGTGTTATTTGAGATAATCGTTCAAGTTGTTTGTTTTTATTTTTCGTCTTTTTGGAAATAGACTAGTTTATAGCTTGCTGTTCGGTGTGAGCCAAGGCTCTGTGTTGAAGGCCGTACTTTGACCTATAATGGTTTACTTTTACAAATTGTGACTTGGATGGAGAGTTTTCTCATTGGCACTCATACCACATCTTCTTATATCTAGTTTAGTTTTTTTTTGTATGTTGCTGTCTCCTTGCATGCAGAACTAGGAGTAATTAAAACAAACATGACAAGTGGTGATACGTTGTGTGAAGAACATTATTGAACAAAGGGGCAAAAGATACGAAATGCACAAAACAAAATCAATCGGCTTGAAATAAAGATCTGTGCCAGCGCTTCACTTACAAGGATCTAACAACGCTCCGTTCTGTTTTAGTTTTTATAGACCTTTCGGGATCCTCTGTTTTTTCGTAATGATACACACATTCAAAAATTTGGAGGCTGAAATTTGATTGGCTGATACAAAAAATTACCAAAAAAAAAAAAAGAAATTAGAACAGAGTGGTTTCAGATCCTTGAAAACGAAGCGTATGTACAGGTTCTGTATTTCAGTCAGATTGAATAAAAATAAATCATACGTCGAAAAAAATCATGACCAAAAACAAAAATTACTAAAAGACAACAACAGACTATAAAACTCTTGAAAGAAAACTAGACTAAACAACAGGAAATCCAGAAACAGGGTGATCTCAGGTGTTTCGCGAAAGGGTAAGCAATCCTGTTCCATTAGTGGCATCCATCGTGTTGCTCATGGCAAGGAAATATTCGGTGATAATTCGCATTGGGTAGTTTCGCAATCAATGAAAAGAGGACGAGATTGTGACTAGGACAATTGGAACATATCAATGGTCGTCTGTGAAACAGATATTCCATAATGGTCATCCGAAAGATGATGGCGTCCGTAAAACCTTTCAAGGGATGGCTAACTTTATTGTTTTGAACCCTTGGTTCAATAGCTTTTTTGTAAGCAACTAAAGAGAGGCGAAAAATACCCCCAATCAAGAAAATCATGATTATCATAGGGAATGCAAGTTCTCGAATATGGTATCAACTGGAAGATATAAACTCCATATACAAGCTTAAATTTCTAAAGTCCCCCTCATAGATTAAGAAATTATTAAGAAATAAGGTTCCAACTACCTCCGGGAAAGTTTACCTTAGATAAATTTGGCTAGTCTTTTAATTTTTGTGTCCTTGTAGGACATACAGCGCTAACTTTTCTACGTTTCTACGTATTTATACATCCTTTGCTATCAAATGTTTGGGTTTGAGATTCGGTGAGCATAGAGTATTTGTCATTTACTACTTAAAAGATTATCATATATAAACTGTTCACCTGGTCAATCTCTCGCTCTCTTTTATTAGTAATTGGCTGGCCGTTGTTACGGCATGCTCCACCGAATCTCTTAAAATCCTATCTAATTAGAATTCAAATCTATCGTATTTCAAATTTGCGTCGAAGATCTAAGACGGATGCATACTTGCATCACTTTTGTGACTTTTTGTGACGTAACATATGGGGATAACGAAATCAGAGATCCATATTTTAATTCAAAATCGAGCTGATATGTCAATCGTTTAAGGACAATCGCCGTTTAAGGACAATTCGCCGTTTCAGAATTCAAAAGTGTTTGGACATTTTGTATTGTGCATTATCCAAAATCAAAATAATAACATTGAGAATGGAAATGGGAAATGTGTCAAAGAGACAACAACCCGACCATAGAGCAGACTTTACACTTAAGAGATAACTGTATTGTATTTGAAGTTTGCGGACGTCTATCGGTAGTTTTACTGTCGCTAATTTAGTTTACCTGGCGACGCGTATTCAAATACAATACAGTTATCTCTATTCTAATGCAAAACAAGTACATAATTCAACTTTAATCATTATTTCAGTGTAAAATTTTCATTAAAGAAAATTCCGCGAAAAGAGTTATCTTCTTTGACCCCTAAACTAGGTGACGTCATAGGTATACTTCCGGCGTCAAACGTTTCTGGCTTATTTACCGCTTCAAAATGTAATAAAATTTGATAAAAAGAAGATTTCTAGGTGCAACATGTGAGTTTTTGGCTTATTATTGTAGAAATTACATGTCATATACATTCCGCAATTCAAAATGTCGGCTTCCTTAGTTACATACAAGGAGATAGAGAATTTTACGCTTACTGTCATCCCATCAGAACCATTGATACAAAATAATTGCATTTGAATAATTGTTTATGGTGTTGTAACCAATACAAACGTTGTTGGTGTACACTTTGGAATATAAATATATATACATAAAATGCTTTGGAGTATGAAATGGCGAAAACTGGCCCAAAATCATTGTTGGAAAAATGGCACGAAAATCCGTTATTAATTTGTAATTGTATTATTAGATGCAATGTAATCGCCCTTACTCCAATATAAAAGTAAGAAGATATGGAATGATCGAAACTTTTTTTGACTTGTACAGCACGGTGTATTTTGTTTCTATATTCGTGTTACTATACATAAATGACTGGCTAGTACTTGTATGTTAACTTTTAATATTCGTCTCTAATAGCTCTTGCATTGACAGTGTTGTTTTATGTAACATTTTTGGCTATTTCAAGTTTCGGAAAATTCAAATCAAAACCACAGCCTCTTGTTGAATGGTCCGACCCGCCTTTTTTCTATATATTTTATTTTGGTAAATATTCTTTTATATTTTAATCTATTTTCACTTATTTAATGTGTTCGTGTTCTTATCCATACGATAGTATATGATACCCCCTCTCCTGGAAAATAAGAATATTTCTAAAGCAAAATAAAAAAAATAAATATATTCAGAAAAAAGGGAGTACATTCCTCAATCGGGTGGAAAATAAGAATAGGTTGGTATCATATATAGACTGCTGTTATCTTAATACCGTATGAACACATTGAATAGGTGCAAATAGGTTAAATTACTAAAGTATATTTCTAAGAAATTTAAAATTAAAATCTAGAAAAAAGGGGGAGAGGTTTATTCCCAAAGCGCCTGTATTAATAAAACGAAGAAAATATCATTCCTGATAACTATAAATCATAAAAAAATTTATTATAAATGAAAAGGAATTTTATTATATAAGGAAATAAACACTAGAGTAGTAACAGTACCGGTATTATTATTTGTTAATTTAGATCTATTAAGAAATTGATAAATACACTATACAAAAAATTAAACCTCTGCCCTGAAAAATCAGTTTTCTGTAAAAGGCATGATTCTATATAAAGAAATCTGCAGTAAGCATTTAAAATTCGAATGAAGAGAAAAACAATGAGTCTTTTTCAATGATTAGACACATTTTAGCAAGTACTTACTCAAAATGACGAGAAATATCAACAAACTGAGAACATCCATATTGGAGGGCGTATTTATCTCTATGTATTGAATTCTATAATGAGATGCATTTATGATCAAGCATGGATAAGATAAGTATAGTATATCATAATTCAAAATGGTACGTGTTGGGAGAAGGTCAATAGCCTATTAATTAATTTGTATAAATAAATTTATTATATCATTACTGTAGCGAAGAAAAAAGAATTCATATAAATAAGATTAAGATTAAAGGAAATTTATTGTTATGATAACTTGATATGCTAGTAAATGCAATATAAAAATAACATTATATAAACCATATAGATAAATTTTAACTAATTATTAATGCTGAAACAAAACAGATTACCAACAAATTAGGCTCCTTTTTAAAAAAGTCACTAAAACTGGGGGCAAGGAGTCCTTGAAAATATTGAATCTCTCTCTCTATGTATATACGTATAAAAAACAAATGATTATTGATTGTAAGATGTATTTCACTATATGTATAAAATGTTGTTTATTTTCATTGTTTGTTATATATCTACATGACATTTTATGTTTGTAAGTCAGTGGCCTTTATGGGTATAAAGTGCTTTTTCAATAAAGAATTACAATTTGATTGATCGAAATTGCAGTTAGTTTGTGGGTGTGATTATCGCTTTTGAAACAGCTAGACTTCAAGTCAACAACCAAACCGTCTCCATGTTCGACATGTAGTCTAGAATCATGTGAGCAAGGCAAAATACATCAGACTCTGTAAATTCATAAGTATATGTGGTGTTGCGGAAAATAGAAGTTTTGTGCGCGCGTTTACCAAATCACATTTTATGCCTGCGTATCTGGAACCTGTGTTGTCCGTTGTTCTTTTTATTTATCTGATTGCTGTGATTGGTGGGGCCTGTTTGTTATGCCTTATATTTATGCGGATTAATGTATTATTGAGTATGAAATCCTGTTATAAACAATATAATGAAATAGACCTTGATTTAGAGCCAAATTTAATCTGATCAAAATCCGGTGTCGTTCTGTAACTGGCATCTTTGTTAAAAATATGCTGTACATGTATTTTGTTCTACATAACATCGTAAGAAGTAGTTTCGCTTACAGGGATCTGACAACTCTCCGTTCTCTTTCTGTTCTGGTAAGTTTTCAATCAGCAAATGGAATTCCAGCGTCCAAAATTTTGAATGTGTGTATCAAAACGACAAAACCAGAGGGTCCCGAAAGGTCTTCAAAACAGTAAGGAAAACGGAGCGTTGTCATGCAGATCCTTGTGATCGAAGCGTGGACAATGGTCTTGTATCTTAATCAGATTGAGGCCGAAATTCAATATCAACCTGCAACAGCTGTTCTTGACTTTAAGTTAGTTTTGAATCATATGTGATGTAAGAACTTCTTTGTCATTAACTTTTAAAAACGCTTTCGATTATTTCATTTCATGTTCCTTTTGAGTGGCTATATTTGTTAAACGATGGAAATGACTGACCGTAATGTTGCTATAACAGTGCCTAGTTTTTCCTACTAGCTACAATTAAATTTTGAACAACATACCGCAGATTTTGAATTTAGATGCATGTTGAAGGATTGATTTATTTCAAAGTTGATTGATTATCGTCCAATGGCAAATATTTCATGCATATTCAGGATGAAAACAATTAATATTTAATACAATAAGCATGTTCTTCACATGTAGGACGACCGGATGATTTGAGTAGACGTGTAGAGAGCATGGTTCTCTTCTTACAGGGGTCATCGAAATAAGCGTCCACAATCCAATCGAACGTGGCTTCGTATTTATACATAATGTACAGCTAAACAGACATCCCTCTTAACTTAAGCCATATTTTTTTCTGCCGGACGGGAGACGTTTAATGATGACCATGTTTATTTATTCTAGTCAACCCTAAGCTTAGGATCAGTTTAAGGAAAAAATGATTTCTGCTAAAGAAACACCCCTAATATATATAAGAAGATGTATTTATAATATGGTTACAGATATGTACTATGTACAAGGCAATATCCATATATAAAAGATGCATGTTGACTGTCTAAAGATCAAGATTTGGACCGGTGATTTGACATGGCTCAAGCAACAGACTCATAAGGCTAGTCCACATTCGATAGTTTGATACGACCCTGCACAGAAGTACCTATTATGTTTATTTCATTGAAATGACACATTATTTGATACAAAATTTATTGTATATGTTTTACGTGGCCGGATCTTTATTCGTTATTCTGGGGTAACTAATTAGCGGAACTGGAATTGTGTAACCTTCCCAAGCGTCTGATGAGTTAACTCGGTTTTTGTTGGGTTTCTTATTCATCGACTCATGATTTTTATTGCCCACGTGATATTTTCGTATTTTTTAACACACATAACCAACTGTGTTACATAGCTTCTAAATCCAGAGGTTTGACAATACATGAGCGAAAAAAAAAAATCACAAAATATAAAGTAACGAGACAACGAAAGACGAATACAAAAAAGCGGAAACAAAAGTCTGAAACATTGGGCAATGCGAACTCTGTCAAAATTCGAATGTACCGAAAAGTTACGCATAGTACTGTTGTTTCCGAAATTACAGCTGTGCTTATGTTTTATGTTAATTTTTTTGTTTTTGTCACGAATTGCCTGTTTAGTGGTGTTTTTTTTTTGGGCGGGGTGGGGTTGGGGGAGGGGGGGTTGTTAGTGTCATTATTGAAACTTTATTCAGAAGAGCAATCATACATATTAAAATATAATGTAAAAGGAAAACATTTTGATATTTACAAACAAGAGATATAGACGATTTTGATGTCGGAGTTATTATCTCAAACAGCTATCTGAACTGCAACAACAGGAAGAAGTAGGTCAAATACAAGCCAGCTAACTGAAAGAGAAAAATAAAACATAATGTATTATGGGTAATAACAATTATTTACTCGGTTTCGTGACAACCGTCAAAATATCAGGGAAGCCTGGGAGGGGAACATTCCTACCGCTATCCTGATATCACTGGAATATCTAACATAAAGAATGGTGAATTTGCAAAGTTCGAGATATAAAGTCCGTACTAGAAAAAAATATATGTATGAAAACGTTCAAGCCAATGAAAAGATAAATGGTACACGTTCCTTGCGATTGTTTTACTTTTAACGTTAGTTCTAAAAATAAAATGACACCAGTCAAAGATACTTGTTTCAAAATGTTTTATGTCTATAAAATACAGTTGCAGCGACAGTTGCGACAATTGTACCCCGAATCCTCCTTTTAACACGTTTTCTCTTACTAAACCATAAGACTAGACATGACATTTAGGCCATACCAATTTAGTTTCATATGTATTATGTTTGTCTAAAATTTCAGAAGGAACCCAAAGCCAAATATGCGACAAGAGTTTGTAATCAAAATTTGAATTTAGATAAATTTGTGGGACGGAACTAAATGTTACTTACAGTTAGAAGGAGTTCTTTTGTGATGGTGACCAAACCAAACGCTGTTAAACCTACGGATGAACTCGTTAATTTGGACAGGAATAAATACAGCTAAAAAATAACAATAGATAACATAGAATGAAAATGTGTGCGATATAATTAGTTGATCTGTTAATGGTTACTTCACATGCTGCGGCAAATAAGACATACATATTTAGAATAAGAACATATTAATGAAATAATAATGTATACTGCTCTGAACAAGACTGACACGCTGAGTTAGATCTGCATCGTGCTTGCTTACATTGTATAACAGCCCACTGGCATACATGTCACCCTTTGACTCAAACCAGAAAAGTTATTCTGATTCCGATCCGATCCGATCCGTCATTACTCTTACTCTTAAATGGTGCATGCTTGACGGAGACGTAGCAAATACTATAGCTTTAATTTTAAAGTTTTGGGTTTGACCTGTTTGATTGTAGAGGGGAGAGCACTATACCACGAGGCGACATGGGCAGTTCAGCTGATACACCCTCGGGGACGAATAAAAAAAAAACATCCACCATCAGTGTTATTGACCCATTTGTTATAAAAAAATAAGCAAATATACCAGGCTTCTAATTTTGAACGCCATACGCGCGTTTCGTCTGCATACGACTCATTACATAGTGCCGCTCGAATTAAAACATGTGGAGGTCCAAATGAAATACGACGTTGTAGAGCTTTCAAAAACGATAATTCCGAAAAAAAAATCCCAAATAAGGCAATCTGTTCCTGGGGGTAAACATACCTTGTTGTTTCGAATAATTCAGCATCAAAGTTTATACACAGTAAATTAATTTTATAGAAAATCAATATATAAATGATATTTCTGGTCAGCACAAAAGATCTATCTTCTTGGCTGGTGTGTAATACTGTTATTCCCCCTCCCCAACTGTATTTTTCATGTCATAATCATTTAATATATCACGGTATTTCATTACAACCAACGTATCATACCTGAGGCTGATCTTCCGGTTTAACGTCATTAATGTCTATGTCGTAAAGGTACTCTAATGGTGCATGAGCCTGCAAGAAAAACAAAGGAAAAGATTGTTGATCAATACTACAAAACAGTATCCTCACTTTATCGTAAAAAACGGAATCAAGCATGCCAATATAAAATTAAAGAGATACGATATGATTACTAAGGAGAGAACTATTCATCAAGATCAAAAGATCAAAGATGTGAACAATTTGAGTCTAGGTACGACCTTCAACAATGAGCAAAACTGTTACCGTACAGTAAATTATAAAAAGCAACGGTAAAAACTATGACAAAATGAGAAACAATTCAAAAGAGAAAAAACTAACAGCCCGACTCATACAACAATGAATGAAAAACAAATATGTCAGACGGCGATCAACAAATTTACTGCAACCACTGAATTACAGTTTCCTGGTTTGGGACAGGCACATACAGAATGTGATGGGGTTAATCATATTTATGTGAGCACCTAATCCCTCCCCTAACCCGAGACTGGTGTATCAACAAAAGAACGAACTGTAAAAATCAATTGAAAAGGTTTGACTCATCCGATCAGTACAAAGCACAAAAACGAATGACAAAATGAAAAAAAAAAAACACACAAAAATACCGATCTATGAGTACTCGCAGTTACTGAAAGGTATAATACCTGGATATACACATGTATTGCAATGCATGTTTAGTTTTCTAGTATAATTTTAGAAATAAAATCAATGTTAGTATTGATAAATAAAATATTCGTATTACAGTGCTAAACTGATAACCTTAATGAATGAGTTTATGCAAAGGAATAATGAGGTGGTTAGATCGTTTCTTTATTAACTAGCTCTTTTAACAACACCACCGTAAAAATTATCATGTAATATCCCATTTCTTTTCAGATTTCTACAGGTGCAACCAAACTTCCAAACTAATCGAGTTCACCACAGATGAAACAATGAAATATGTTCGTGGCTTTACTGATATTTTCGATAGAATTTGATAATATTTAAGCTTAATGTTCTTCATTGAACATGTTTACGATCATACCAACACAATTTAAAAAGTCAAGGAGTTCACACTTTCAAAAACATGGTAAGGGAGCTTTGACAGGATGACAATTTATGTAAAAAAAAGTCAGGATAAACTAATAAAAAAAAAGGCAGGACCGAATAGAGTGAAAAATAAAAAGGCAGGACAGAAATTACAACTAAAAAAAAAATGCAGGACACAATTTTTCATCCTAGCCCATCCCCCTCCCCCCTATGATTCTATGAATTGGTAATTTGAGATTTGATGATTTTAAGACAAATTTCAGAACGTTTTTATAGTCGATTTAATGACACTTCTATACAAATTTTCACCTATTTCAAAGGAATTCATTCAGTGACATTTTAGAAAGTAAAAGAAATAAATGTAAATGCTTTTTTTTCCCGATTATCAGTGAAAGTTCTATATGCCAAATTTGTATGCCAAATTTTACAAAAATCTCAGACAAAGCCCATTTATTATACCTCGACCTTATAGCATATTTTTTTGTTGTTAATTTTGATTCGTCTATAATCACACTATTTTGATAAAAGAGTTTATGTCCCTTTTCATCATATATTTCTTTGTGTAATTTTAAATTCGTTGTTTCAGACTCGGCTCCAGTCTTTGTTGGAAAGAAGGATTGCGTTTTAAAACAAGTTACTTACAACATGTTTAATTAATTGTTGAAAATTTCCAGTTTGTGTATTGGCTTGAATTCAGAATTTTTTTTACCTGTATCACGGTTTCTGAACACGCACCGTGAACTTTCAAACGTATTGCATCACCAGACTTCTATCAACTACAAGGCGACCGGAGAACCTTTTTCAGCCTATATATAAACTTTATCTCCGTTATGGATTAAATGAAAAAAGCTGATTGTTGCAAAGAAATTATGTCTTATTGTTGATTATTTCCCAACCGTTTCTTTCTCGTTTTAGGAGGCAAAGCATGCAGGTTGATAAAAGACAAAATTTCACAAAATAGTGATTATGGTAGGTGCAAATACATTTAGATCTTTTTTATGCATAGCATAAATTCCAAAGAAAAATTCATTAGAAAAATAGATAAAAGATAAACAAAAGATTGATCTTTTCAAACAATTAATTTGCATCTCTGCTCCCAGCAACCGTTTTTAGGGGAAAATCCTAACAAATAGGAATATTCTTATCGAAAATAGAAAGTAGGTACATCTTTTTATATTCAGGCGTATTTGGGTTGACTGTTTTGTCCTTAAAACACAAACATATTTGATACATCATCTCGCTTCAGATTCCATTATTTGTATATGCTTAGGCTTCATGCTGATATTCATACGAATAAAAATTTACAGTACCAAAAATATAAAATATATTGGTCAAGTGAAATACCTTTCTAAACAGTCATTACAACAGAGTAGGTCTGTTCGAATAAAAAGAAATAAAGCTTCGTGCGACTACAAAAGATAAAACCTGAGGTGTAATTTCTTATTTATATTTTTTTTCTTTTTTCGTTCACTCATTTGTTTCAATCGAAATTCAAGCATATCTATTAGTCTATTCATGAAATGTTAAAAATAAAAGAAAAAAAACAGACACAGCGTTAACTAATATCCCCCTTAAATGTTTACAAAAGCCGTTGACAGAAGGCTTTACTTGTGGATCTTACAAATGCATATCTTCATTTTGAGTTATCTATGGTAATTAGTCTTCAACCCCTGAATTTTTTTTTTAGTCTGCCCATACTTTTTTTGAGGTTTTTAACCCCTACCCCCCACAAAAAAAAAAAAAAAAAAAAAAAAAAATCCACCTGACAACCAATCAGACAATATTTTCGAGTTGACAAACGACATAAAAGTAAATCAAATATACATTATATCAAGAAGATATATTATTCTTTTAAAATACAACTGTCATGTAAGGATCGTACTGATGCCGTGTGGATAAATGTATTGGTTTTCAAGAGCTAAATTGACATGGTGTCATCCCTACAATAGCTTCCATTTTCACGATTGAAAAAACTAGGTGGCGTAATGGGGAGATATTTTTTGACGAAGTAGAATCCTGACTGCATGGTTCACAAGTACATTGTCATTGATTTAGGTGATTCAGTTTTTGAGTACAGATACAGAATACAGATATTCAAGCTTTGGTTGTCTAACTAGTGAACGGCTACCACTGAAAATTAGACATGGGTATTTTAGTAATAATTAATTTTGCAATGCTATCATTCACGTTGGATCCACTGATAATTTGGCTATAACAATTAAATAATTTAAGATTAATATTAATTTGAATTTAAAAGAAATAAGGGGCGTTAACTTTTCTTTTAGATTATTTCCATCATTAAAATAACCTGGACGAGTAAATTTTAATCATCATGACAGCTAAGTGCGTAAATTCAATTCACAACTTATTGACTTTCCTAGAACATGATTGATAAAGCTACGTTCTTGAATGCTTGTAAGTCTCATTATAATAGATTTAATACACACATTTCACCTTTATTTAAGGTGGTACCAAACACCTTCACTAAAATTAATTTGGCTCGTTTAATTTTCTCAAATTTTGACAAAATATTTACTTTGACCCTTTGACAAAAATATATAAAATTCAAAAAACTTGAACCACACACTTAATCGGAAAAATTTCATTGGATATATATCAGTTTGACAAACACTAATTTTTATCATTGAGAAGCTTAATATTTCCCTAACAAGAGAACGTGATTAAAACGTTCAGCTGATTTTTACAGAGTTGTCTCCCTGTCGTGTTATGTACCACATTGATATTACAAACTGATTTGAACCATGCTGCTGTTAAACATTTTTTCTCCTTTTATGGCTAATATGTTGATTCGTTTAAATTCAAAGGCCAGTCTTAACATGAAGGCTACGTTAAATTTTAACATCTGATCTCGTTTTATATCATGATAAGGGTTTCATAGCAGATTTTTCTTTTAGTTTTTCAAAGGACTGACATTACCAGATCCATAATTATATCCTTTATGGACACTAAAGAGGCTTATTTGTGAGTTGACATACGGTTTAGCATTTTGATTTATTATATTTTTTAGAATTTCTATCTAGGTAATTCTTAGAATTGTTTATTTATTCATTACGTGAACTATTATGTAGTGTGATTCCATATTATTAGTCTAATGAAATGTTGTTTTAATTATATCTGCTTAAAAAAATATATATATTCACTCGTCCACCTCGGATGGAAGTGTTCAATTTGAAAAATTATTTTGTTACGACACGAAAGACATAATCATATATATAAATAGTGCCTTTATGGCTGAATTGATGTCTTTGTTAGTACATTCTTAACTTTATACCTTTACAGCTGTCCAGATATTCAGCACCGTCATTTTATGGAGTTTGGTTTCAAGATTTATTCTATAGTCTGATAAGTAAAATAACTCATCGTAGATACCAGGATTTTTTTGTTCGCCAGACGCGCGTTCCGTTTACAAAAGACTCATCATTGACGTTCGAATCAAATAAGTTGAATAGGCCAAATGAAATACAAAACTGAAGAGCATTTAAGACCCGCCGAAATTCCAAAAGGTTTTGCCAAATACAGCTAAAGTAATCTATTCCTGGGATAGAAAATCCTTAATGTTTCGGACTCATCATATATATCAGGATTAGATTTTTTTTTCGCCAGATGCGAGTTTCGTCTACAAAAGACTAATCAGTGACGCTAAAACAAACAATTTAAAAGCCAAATAAAGTTGAAGAGCATTGAGGAAATCTCCACCAGCAGTGGCATATGTCATCGTTATTTCAGCTGGACATTTTATCATTTCTTTTGGGTATTTTAGGCAGAAAAAAAAGAAATTTGTAATGTACGTAATGTAAAGCTTTAAATTTTTTTTTATATTTCTGTTATCTACTTAGTCTACATTATCATTAATTGTACAACTCCTTTTCTCCAAAGAATGACTTATCGCTTGTGAAATCTTAGATTACCTGGCCCAAGAACACAGTTATTTTGTAGTGCATTTTAACAAGTCTTTAAACTTTAACTCAAAATTGTATTTTAAGGGG